GTTTCAAATTAGTTGCACTTCTACAGCTGTCAAGGACCCATGTCAAAATGTGCGAGTGTATCCTCTGCAGATAGCAAAAGTTAACGTCTGTTTTTGAGCTAACAATGAGTCATGTACATTGTTGCCCATGTCTAGCCTTTGTCCTACTTTTAAACTTTTCCATTCACACCGCTGTCCTATCTCTTCGAAGGCGGCATGCAAGAATTGTTCCTTTTGTGAAGACTTAACTATTATGCCAGTGTTTGGAAGGATCATTGTACTCAATAAACTCTTCAGACAAAAAACGAAATCGAATCACCTTTCCTTGAAAAAGAACGATTAGTGACAAGCTAATGCATGTTTATCAACAGATAATGCCGCATATGAGTTGGAGTATCAACGTCCCACGCTTTCCTTACGTTGCAATAAATTAATGGATTACTACGTACTAATGTGCTGTGTTACAATGTCGTCAATAAACTTTTTCCATATTTGAGTGTCCAAACAAATCACTAATCGTAATGATTAAGTCAGAAAATACAACAAGTTTTCAAACAAGGCCATAATAGTAAAAAATCGACTTACTTGGTCTGCCAAAGTGTTGGCAAATTGACCGTTCCCTTGCGGAGTGCCAAATGTTGTCCGAGAATTTTTCTTTTGCTGCAATTTGCCAGAATTGTAATGGCTGAGTACAAAACTACTTCTCAAGCTTTGTATATGAAAAATATGAGCAACAGAAAGCTATCAATTATGTTGTATCGTCTGAAATTCAAGTCTTTGACCAATTCAAATTATAGAAAGAAACTCCGTCTTCCTTTCATTCGCTATAACAATACAACATTTTGAATTTTGTATATACCTTGTTTCCAGGCTGCGGTGGCCTTTTCATTAGCAAGTACTTGGGGAGCACTTCTATGAAAAAGTGCCGTACGCATTCTGGCATGTTGTGGGTGGTCGGTGATCGATAATGGACGTTCTGAAAACGAAACAAGTGGTAAAAGGAAGAGGAAGAAAGGGTGTCCGGACAGTCCAACACAGAAGGAGTACAAAATCAAACTAACCAGCGTAACGACAGTGACGACGACGCTGAGTGTGACCAGCACCATGGTGAAAAGGAGGTATTTGCCTATCAATGGTATGACAAGAGAAGTCGACGGAATGATCTCAACTGAAATTGGTACAATTTTCTGTTTATTCGAGCTATGGGAGATGGGATTACTCACCCAACAACAAAAAGAATACAGTGAGAGAAATGAGGATAGATATACAGAGTGATATCTTTTCGCCACCGTCTGATGGCAAGTAAAAGACGAGAGCTGTGAGAAAACTGAAAATAAATAAGCAGTCCATTCGGAAAACATCTGGAGTGAAAGAATGAGAATTCTTACCTTATACCTACTGAGGGAAATATCAAGTTTACGGTGTAGAAGAGCGTTTTTCGTCGGAGATGGATTTCATAGGTAATGTCTATGAAAGGGCTTTCGCAACAAGGATACCTGAAAGCGATACAATTTTTTCAGGTATGCAATCTCATCTCAACTTCCGTCCTCCACATTTACAGAAAAATACTGGGACATCGTTTATCGATAGACAACTGCAAAAATTATGATTTCTCAGAGATTCTTCCTTCTTTGCGCCCTTCCCCTGCGTTTAGGCTCCGAAAAGCTCGAGGCACAAGCAGACACTCGGATAATGAAGCCAGGAGTGCGATAGTTCGCAATACTTGTCCTGTTACTGTATTCGTGTCCGGACTCCTCCTCGTTGGCACACGGCAAAGCCGAAAGTTATATATAGCAGCCACGCTGAGAATGGCATACATTTTCATTTTCATTCAAACTTCCGTTATCAGCCATCGTCTTTTTCCCTTTTTAGTGCACAGACTCGGAAGTCCGCGAAAAGGGCCGGGCATACTTCACGCGATTTCAGTCGTGACGC